CGATAAAGCAGGGTATGTTTTAGGGCGGGCTACCTGGTGATTGACAGGTCGCTACCATGGCGTTGTCCTGTCTGTACGTTGAATGTGTTTCTGTCTTACAACTTTAACCCTTTCACGGTGTGTTTTCAGTTCACGAAAGTTAACCGTAACATTTTGGTCGTCTAAAATGTCTTATTCAGTGTTCTGTTGTATGTAGGTCCTCTTCTTCTATCTGTTCTGTTGTACACTTGTTTTACATTAGCTACTTTTAAAAATTGCAGGCCATGTGCGATGGTGGTATTCAGGCGTTAGCCAAGTGGTTAAGTTATGACTTTTCTATATTGCTCTCCATTTATTTTAAACAAACAATATGTGACAAAATCAAAAGTTCACATTCAGTTATGGTGGGAATCAATCTAATGCAATCTACTGTTTTGCTCCATCCCTCCACATGTCCAGGCCTTGTTCCATTACCCCCTCCACCCCTTTGCTACACCACTTTAAATAACGTGACGAGCACCGGAGCGTTGCCCCTGTGTTCTTTTCATGCGAGACAGGGGATGAGGATTTACCCGCTGTCAGCAGTTGCTGGAGGGCAGAAGCCCCGTACTCAAATCCCAGGCTGGGATTATGATATAAAAATCAATCAATCGCCTTGTCCCAGCGCGGTGAATCAGCGGTGATGGCGTGACCTAGTTGGATAAATCTAATCTAAGCAGTGACTGATGCCACAAGGACAAAAAGGAGCTCAGTGGGGAATAACAAAATACGCTTGTTAGATAAATATTATAGAGGATAAAAAACAAAACAGCAACTCGCTGTTTGTTTTCCTCTTTTACAATCTCTCTTTATCATATGCCCTTCTGTCTGTCTATCCCTCACCTACTCTTCGCCCTCTGTGTATCTATTTCATTATCTCTGCTTTCTATTTGTAATTTTCCTTCTGTTCTGTGTTTCCCCATTTGTCTCTCTTGATATCTTGGGGATCTGAGGTGAAATTTTCGGAGATAACATTAATATGTTCACACTTAGTGTTATTTGTCTTCTGTAGCTGGATCAAGTTTAAACTCTGTATAACTTTTGTCTATTTATTTCTTTAGGACTATGTTGTCTGAACTAAGCAAGTGCAGCCTGCAGTGAGCTGCCATGCAATGTCTATGGAAAGTTGCTGCAGTCACCCTGAGCTCAGGCTGTTTGATCCCGCAGCGAAGTGCAGAAAAACTAAAAGTTGGGGATAGTTTAACTTTTGGCAGCTAGAGAATCAGTAAACAGAGTCCTGTGACTCCTGTGACATCTTGATCTATGTAAGAAGAGTTTCTGCCCCCCTGAAACACACAAACAAGTCTCCCGGCTAAAGTAATATGTAATTATCGCGAAGAGCTGCACTTAACTGGTGCTTGATATGTCCCTGGCATAACTAGCTAACTTTCGATGTATCTTTTGGAGTAACATTCTAGTGTGTTTATTGTACTGATACCACTTCTTCATTCTAGTGGGAACATGTGAGGTCTAGGGCAATGGGTGTACAGGCTGTGAAAACATGTTAATGCAGTTGGTAGGGACTTATTTTGGGACTTTTTTAAAGAAATGTTTCTCAGACATTTCTTATCGTAGACTCAAAGCAACAGTGAAAAACTATTTAACCAATGAACTGTATTGCAGCTTACTCTATCCTGTACACTCTCTCTCTCACACACACACACACACACACACACACACACACACACACACACACACAGCAGTGTGTTTTCTGTCACTCCATGAGACTGTGATGTCCAGCCAGATTGGCTGTTTTGGCAAGCTTTTGCCACCGTATGTCAGCACCATGCAGATATTTATTGTTTGTGTTGGCTGTGTTTGTGCTTCAATGTGTGTGTGTGTGTGTGTGTTGACTGAGCCGCGAGGATACAATTGATCCATCAGGCTGCAGGAGTCCAAGAGGGACAGACAGGAAGACAGAGGGAATGAGAGTGAAGAACATAGAGCTAGAGCATTAAGACTTGTTTGTCCTTCCTTCCTTCATATCAGTTGATTTTCAACGACACGTTTGTGACTGTTTTACAAACACTTTTGTAAAACAGGACATGTTAGAGATTATCCAGTGATCTGAGGGCTAATGAACAAAAAATGAGCAAGGGATAGCACCACAGACTGCCATATTCTTATATCTTTTGAATAGCATTTAAAATATGTGTACATTCAAAAGCAATGAATGTGTTCAAATAAATCAGAACCATGGCACAGTTAGTCAGCCTTAATCTGTATTCAGACTTTAAGTCCCCAAATGTTTTAGCCTCTTGTTATTTGAACACTGTTTTTTTTTTATATTGTATATTTTATGATGTTGTAATTTTTGCATGAGATTGTTTGAGATGTATCTATGTTTTATTTAGTTTTGTAATGACTTGCCTCCTGTTGCAGCCTTTTTGTCCGGGTTGTCATTGTAAATGAGAACTGGTTCTCAATTGACTGGTTACATAAAGGTTAAATTAAAAGAAAATGTTCCATTTTGGTTACTCTCTGTTTTCACTTTTATTATAATCCATAATTGATCATCTCTGGTCCTATGTGTTGTCTGCTATAATGGATAGTATGTGTCATTCACCTGAGGCTGATTCATTAGCATCACCCTGTTTTTCCAGAGTATTTCAGCAAGCCATGTCCATCTGTCATTTTCTGTCAGATTCATTCTCAGTCCTTCATTTCCTCCTCCCCCCCCCCCCCCCCAACTCTTTTCTCACGCCCAGTCTTAAACAGAGATTCCAGACTCTGTCTTCTCACCTATTAACTTTATCACAGAGGGGTTGTTTTTTTTTTTTTATCTTTCCCACCTTCAGCTCACTTTAAGAGACTCCTGGGAACATTTATCTCTTATCTGAAAGAGGCCTTATTGCTCAATTGATAACCTCTCCTTCAGAGCAAAGTCTGTAAATAAAAAGTCATGGAGACTAGTGGCCATCATAAAAACGTAGCAAAAAGAAATCGTTTTCTCTTTACTCTTAAGTGTGAAACATAACTTTAATGCAGTTTCAAAAATAATGTACTTTTATTTGCTTTTTTGTTTTCTTACAACCATATTGAATTAAAGCAAAATTCATACATGATATTTTTGATATGAGAGAAGTGATTCTTAAAAATGACAGCTTATTATGAAGAACACTGATGTTACAGAACTATCGGCCAACATCTTTGCCGTATCCTTTTCTGTATCACATTCAGATCTGCTATTCTGAACAGCACAGAGCATCAACTGTCTTCTAAACAGGTGTAGTTTAGTGTCTTGCTCAATTTGACGTTAAAGAAATCGTTTTACATTTTAAGAAACAGGATTATTTGCTTTCTTGCTGACAGCTATCATACATAAACATAACGTGTTGATTTAAAATGTGTCAATCTCTGAGCTTCAGAGGTGCTAGATGGACAAGATGAGGCAGGCTGTTTCCAGTCCACATGCTAAGCAGAGCCAACAAGCTGCTGGCTGGAGCTTGAACCGAGAAATATGAGAGTATTGATCTTATCCAACTCGAGAAAAGATGTACGTGTACAGTGGGTACGGAAAGTATTCAGACCCCTTTAAATTTTTCACTCT